TGAAAGAAGGAATACGTGCCAGGGTCTTTTCCTTTTACAAACAGCCATATTTGCTCATCCTGCTCAGCAGTGCTGAACAGTGTTCTATGATGGTGATCATCTTATCTCACTGTAACAGCCAAACCAGGCAGGGAATTTCTGAATTAAACTCTATAATGATGTAAAACACACTCACTGCCCCTGCTAGCTGTAGACCATGTGGCCTAATCTGCCTAGGCTTTAGGTCATGTGATAAAGCTTGGGAGATTTACTCCAAAATTTGATAAGGCTCAGTATACCCTATCCACTCATTGTTTAGATTGTGATGGTAGGTACACTTTAATTAAAGTATCAATCACAGACAACCCATTGCATCAAGCTCTGAAGTCTTTCTATTTTCCAGTCACCTGTTTAACCCAGGAGTCAAGAGCAGCTTTGTATTTACACAGCTCCAAAATAAAGCCTTTTGTTGTCGTATTGAATTAAACAAGCGTGTATGTATACCGGAATATAAGGTTGCTTTTTTTTTTTTTTTTCTTTTCTGTAAACAGAGCTGTGCCTTTTCGCTCGTCTCGTTGATTGAAAATGTATCTGTGCAGCAAGGAAAACTCATCTTTGAATTGAATAGATGCTATCTGCTTGTGCTGAACAATGAGAAACATATAAATCGCTTCCCAGAACTGCATGTGAGGGATAATGTCAATATGAGTTATGTCTTCCTATAACTTCAAATGAAGTCTGCTGTTGACTGTCACAAGATGAACAATTCCCATTACTCCATCAGCGTTGCACAGCTTGTTCACTTAGAAAACTGCTACATGTTTCTTTTTTTTTTTTTTTTCCCGTCAGGAGAGCAGATAAGTCACACACTGGGTGTCGTCGCGGCACATCAGCAAATCTAAGGCCTTGCAAAAGATAGAGAATGGAAGGAATTCTTTTTTAATTAAAGGTACCTCTGGTTATGATGGAAAATGAAGCCTTGAGTAATATTTGGTGCAAGCCCTATCCAAGTTGTTGCGCTTCTCAAGGTCATCCCCGCTCTTAAAAAAAGGCTTTGTTGTTGGTTTTCAGGGTGCTTCTGGATTTTCTCTGTCATTATGTCAATAGTCCTGGATGTTCCTATTCAGGGTCATTATTTTATGTGTCATCAGACGGTCAAGGCACAAGGCAATATGCTGGCAGTCAACCCCTTTGGGCTAATGACACTGTCGTTCTCTTCCCATTACTGTATTGAGGCCTGTCGATTGACCGTTACGCTCGAACACTGTGCATGCAAGGATGTCATGCTCCTCCATACCCATTAAAAGCACCATATGTCTCAGAAAAAAAAAAGAGTGGCAGTGGAGCATAAAAAAGGTGCGTAGAAGTGAGGTGGGGGGGGGGGGAATAATAGTAAAAGCCTGTTTAATAATATAATTTTTTTTTAAATTTAATAAAATGCATGTATTTTACTTATTTAAATTGACAGTTTTATTTTTTTTTTATTCATTTACTAATATTTTTTGTTATTTTTTACATTTTTATAATTTTATTATTTATGTATTAATATTTTTTTACCAGAAATTTGTATATTGAGTTTTTACAATAAAATGTAAAACCAGTTAATAATGAAACATTAAATTTAAAAAAAGGGAACGTCTAAAGACTTGGTACATATGTCAGCATACAAGTAGACAATACATATATGTATTAATAATAATAATAATAATAATAATTATTATTTTATTTAAATAATATTCACATTATTATTTGTACAAAATATAGAGCATAGAAAACAGAACATGTAACAGTGTTATCACAGAGAAGGATACAAAGATTTGAATGTAAACACTGTACACATAAGAAGCACACACAAAACACAAAAACACATAAGGGTGTGGGGAGCTGAGGATTCCGATGAAAAAAAAGATGGGGGGGGTATTGAGGACTCGAACACTGTGCATGCAAGGATGTCATGCTCCTCCATACCCATGAAAAGCACCATATGTCTCAGAAAAAAAAAGAGTGGCAGTGGAGCATGAAAAAGGTGCGTAGAAGTGAGATGGGGGGGGGAATAGTAAAAGCCTGTTTAATAATATAATTTTTTTAAATTTAATAAAATGCATGTATTTTACTTATTTAAACTGACAGTATTATTTTTTTTTATTCATTTACTAATATTTTTTGTTATTTTTTACATTTTTATAAATTTTATTATTTATGTATTAATATTTTTTTTTTACCAGAAATTTGTATATTGAGTTTTTACAATAAAATGTAAAACCAGTTAATAATGAAACATTAAATTAAAAAAAAGGGAACGTCTAAAGACTTGGTACATAGGTCAGCATACAAGTAGACAATACATATATGTATTAATAATAATAATTATTATTATTTTTTTAATTAATATTCATATTATTATTTGTACAAAATATAGAGCATAGAAAACAGAACATGTAACAGTGTTATCACAAAGAAGGATACAAAGATTTGAATATAAATACTGTACACATAAGAAGCAAACACAAAGCACAAAAACACATAGGGGTGTGGGGAGCTGAGGATTCTGGTGTAAGAAAAAAAAAAAACCCACAAACTATTTGTGGTCACACAATGTATGCATGTATCCATTCACAATCAATAAAGAAAAATCTTTTGACCTGTAGTGTTCTAAGGGTCTTTTATAAGTTAGATCCATGAAGTCTAATGAAAGATGTGTCTGATTCATGTTATTATGATTCACTGTTATTTTAGGCAAAAAAAAAAAAAATCACTGCTTTACCTCTGTTTCATATTATACTCTGCATATGTGGAAAATCAATCAAATAGAGTATACACCTCTTAAATAACTACAATATAAACCATAAAATGTCAGGATAGAGAAGTGAGAATGTACTCCAAGAGATAAATTAATTTTGAAAATTTTATTACAAAAATATTATCCACTATACTGTATAAACCCATATTTGCCCAGACCTATACCATACCACATATTTAACTATTTAAATCAATGTATCTCAAAGGGGTTTCCACGGCACCCTGGTGTACCATCTGGGGTTGTCAGGGGTTCCACACTACGTCCAGTATATTTGCCTCCATTTAGATTTGCTCCACCTTCCACTTACTGTCATGCTGCCACAACTGCGTTGGTGAACACCGGAAGGCAGGACCCTCTTGTGAAAAACATATGTGTGGTGGTGTTGTGTTGGCAGAGGACTCTGGTGTAAAAAGATGAGGGGGTACTGAGGACTCAAATGTAAAAAGCTAGGGATATGGGGAACTGAGGACTTTGATGTAAAATGATGGGGGGGACTGAGAACTATGATGTAAGATAAAGATAGGGGTGTGAGGAGCTGAGGATTCTGATGTAAAAAGATGGAGGTAACTGAAGACCCTGATGCAAAAAGATAGGGGTGTGGGGAGCTGAGGATTCTGATGTAAACAGACGGGGGGTATTGAGGACTCTGATGTAAAAAGATAAGATAGGGGTGTGGGCAGCTGAGGATTCTGATGAAAAAAAAGATGGGGGGTATTGAGGACTCTGATGTAAAAAGATAAGATAGGGGTGCGGGGAGCTGAGGATTCTGATGAAAAAAAGATGGGGGTATTGAGGACTAAAAAAATAGGGGTGTGGAGAACTGAGGACTCTAATGTAAAACAATGGGAGTAACTAAAGACCCTGATGCAAAAAGATTGGGGGGGGGGGGACTGAGAACTCTGATGTAAAAAGATGGGGTGACTAAGGGCTATGATTTTAAAGGGGGTCTGAGGAATCTGATGTAAAAAGAGAGGGGGGTGTTTTGTTATGCATCTTTTAAGGTTCTTTGTGGTAAAAGCAAGGAAGTTTACAATCCTCTGTAGTGTATTAATGTTTACTAAGCAAAACTGCTGTACTCACACCAACTAAGAACAATTTTAGGAACAATACAGGACCTACAAAGTATTACAAAATATGCATCCAATATACACATGCACACACTATCTATCCTTCCTAGAAAATGAGCATGGACAATGTATGCAAATACACTAAACAGCTACTTAACTTGGTTTTTCCTGGCGATAGAGTCTTCTTACAGTCTGCTCCTTGTTTCTCAGAGTCCTCTAGAACTATTACATGTTGCTCTTTGCTTCTTGCAGTACTGCAGACCTACCAGTTTCCCCTACTTCCTGCCAATATCATTTCCTATAGCAGTAGACCATGAACCGGCCCAACAAGTTCATTAGCATATGAATGGGGAAGCCTAAATTCTACTTATGTTTATCGTCACGTACCTGACCTGAGGCTGCAATAGAGAGAGGGCTCCCCTTACGGCTAATTGCAGTGCGCCCCTGGAGGTGGAAACAGGAGGTGCAGTGCCCAAAGAAGCATGGGTTGCCAGTGGTGTTGCTGCTTGGAAATGTCTGATGAGATGAAACCCGTGGGTACTCCAGTTGCAGGAGGAGTTTCTCCAGAGAACACGTGGATCCCAGAGGATGGGTAGTGTAGTCAGTAGCCAGAGCCAGGATCAATATGAACGGCAGACAAGAGCAACGTCAGGATCAAGACGGGGTCATACACAGTAGCAGCAGACAGGAGCAAGGTCAGGATCAAGCCGGGATCATACACAGAGCAGCAGACAGGAACAAGGTCAGGAGGAAGCCGGGATCATACACAGAGCAGCAGACAGGAACAAGGTCAGGAGCAAGCCGGGATCATACACAGAGCAGAAGACAGGAACAAGGTCAGGATCAAGCCGGGATCATACACAGAGCAGCAGACAGGAACAAGGTCAGGAGCAAGCCGGGACCATACACAGAGCAGCAGACAGGAACAAGGTCAGGAGGAAGCCAGGACCATACACAAAGCAGCAGACAGGAACAAGGTCAGGATCGAGCCGGGATCATACAGAGAGCAGCAGACAGGAGCAAGGTCAGGATCAAGCCGGGATCATACACAGAGCAGCAGACAGGAACAAAGTCAGGAGGAAGCCGGGATCATACACAGAGCAGCAGACAGGAGCAAGATCTGGATCAAGCCGGGATCATACACAGAGCAGCAGACAGGAGCAAGGTCAGGATCAAGCCGGGATCATACACAGAGCAGCACACAGGAACAAGGTCAGGAGCAAGCCGGGATCATACACAGAGCAGCAGACAGGAACAAGGTCAGGAGCAAGCGGGGATCATTCACAGAGCAGCAGACAGGAACAAGGTCAGGAGCAAGCCAGGATCATACACAGAGCAGCAGACAGGAACAAGGTCAGGATCAAGCCAAGATCATACACAGAGCAGCAGACAGAAACAAGGTCAGGATCAAGCCGGGATCATACACAGAGCAGCAGACAGGAACAAGGTCAGGATCAAGCCGGGTCAATAACAGGAAATTAGCAAGAAACTCAGGAACGGGAGGGGCTGACAATAATCCAGCAAACACTGAGCAGAGCTGCAATCCTTATAAAGGCCACTGAGTGTCAGCAATTAGTGCACCCTACATGTGCTGGTGTGTTTTCGTGCACAGGAATGCTTTGTTACATGTCGCCACCTATGCACATGCGCACTTCTTTGCGCGAATTGGCATGGCCATATTGCGCATTGGCACATTTGCCCGGGCTTCCTCATCTTTTCCTCTGACATTTATGCTATAAAGAATCACTAAAATAGCCAAAACAACGATGATGTGAAAGAAGGGGGGCTAAAGACTATGATGTGAAAGGAGTTGAAGATTATGATGTGAAAGGAGGGGAACTAAGTAATCTGATGTGAAAGGGGTATACTAAAGACTGTAATATGAAAAGCTATAGGGTGAAAATGAGGACTCTGATGTGAAAGACGAGTTCTGATATGGCAGGAAGCCCTTTTCAAACTGGAGTGTCTCAAGATCTAGCAAACTGTCATGACTTAACCACTTCCCGACCGGCCGTTGCATATAAACGGCCGGACGGTGGCAGTGCAGGGTCGGGTGGCTGTTTATGAACGGCCTCCCCGCACCCTGCTTGTGCGCGCTCCCTGGGAGTTAAACACCGATCGTCGTACAGGACCGCTGTACGAGGTCCCGATCATGTGATCACTGATTGGCCAATCAGTGATCACATGCAAAGTAGTAAGCAAGATGTCACTTGTGACATCATTGCTTACTACGTGTGAAATCTGTGAATGATCACAGAGGTCACATGGTACAAGGCTATTCACAACAGCCTTGTACCATGTGACCAGCTTTGACCAATCACAGCTCACTCAGTACTTCTCAATGAGTGCAAGAATGCACACAGAGATAAAGAGAAATGATTACTTTTACATCCTATATGGGTGTAAAAGCAATCAGTGTAACAAAAAAAAAAAAAATCTTCATCACCCCCCACAAGTAGTACAGTGTCACCATGGTGACACTGTACTGCTAGGGTGACAGTATGTAAAAAAAATAAATAAATAAAAAATAATAATATAAAAAAATAAAATAAAAATGTAAAAAAAAATGTTTAAAAATTATAATTTTTGGTTATAAACTAATTTTTTTTTTCTTTAACTAAAAAGATAACGGAATAAATTTTGGAAAAGATTTATGATGAAATATTATTTATTTGCAAAATTTTACTAAAAAAAAAACACTTTTGTTCAAAATTTTTGGACTTTTTCATTTACATAGCAAAAAAAATAAAAATCCCAGCTGTGAATAAATACCACCAAAATAAAGCTTTATCTGTCTCAAAAAAATGGTAAAAAATTAATTTGGGTACAGTGTTGCATGACTGTGCAATTGTCATTCAAAGTGTGATAGCGCTGAAAGCTGAAAATTGCCCTGGTCAGGAAGGGGGTAAAAGTGTCCGGTCTGGAAGTGGTTAAAAAAAGGTTGATAAACACTGCTCTAGACCATTAGATTCTGAAATGAAAGTATACATAAAGTTATAGTTTAGGCGGTGAGCCATCCTTATCCTCATTACTGTAGAACAGACAATAGAAGTGACTGCCAGGCATAGTATCATAATATCTACTTGCAAAAATCGTGTAATTAGTAACCATAAAACAGATATAAACATAAATGCTAACACCTTTCACAATCTGTCATTAGTAAAGGTTATGGAGATGTGAGCTCTTTCGTTTATTATATTAATTATGGGTCTGCATCGATCAATTTTATTAGTTTTATAACACAGCTTCTCTAATTACCTTGTTTGTGGTTTCTTCTTTCTACTACTTCCTGACATGATATTTACCTAAATGGCTCATCAAGACGCTGTTCCTGGTCACCATTATTGTTCCCGTGCCCCTGCGGCCACCTTGTTAATTTGATTAATTGTAGATACAAACAACTAATACTCAGGGCTTGTGTGCCAAGACCTTGTAAATTCTACTTTGTTTTTACAGTAGCGTAGTCACCAGCAGTCCCATATCCTGCATTGTGACATTTCTCTGTCCTGCCAATGCTGGGATGGCTAGCAAGTACAGAATGGAAGGGTCAGTAGATGTTTATATCTATTTAAAGTGAATCTAAATCCAATAGCAAGTTTGTATATATTGGAACGTACCATTCCTTAGATATGGTGGCTGCATTAGTCTTTTTTTCATCCTTTTTTCCTTTTATTTTCACCTGTGATCCTGCCAGTAACGCACTTCCTGTCTTAGGGTACAACCCTCAAACCCTGTTCTGTATCTATGTGTAGGCAGGTGCAGTCTAGCTTCTCCACTGTAGGTGTCACTTGTCCGGAGTGGCAGTACAAATGGAAGGGGAAGTCAAGAGAAACTTCTCTATGATTTCCATGGCTCCCTGGAGCAGATTTACGGTTGGTTTCACTCCATCAAGACCCTGGCAGCCATCTTGGGTCATGCAGAGCCTTTTTAAGTCCGTGCCCCCCCAGGTTTTAGCATGCATTGCAAAGTGGCTAGTGTAGGGAGACTATACCTGTCTGTCAGGGAGAGCACTAGCGGTAGGGACAGGTACCAAAAGAGTAGGGACAGCTCAGGCCCTACATCTGCACTTCAGCAAGCTCCCTTCTTGGGTTGGACCAGCCAGACCACATTTAACCCCCCTTGGAAAGCCCTGTCTTCAGTCTGGGCTTACTACCCCGCTGATTCTTTGCTACATTGATTGTGAGTTCCCAGTGGGGTTCCCATATATGGAAAAGCAGCGTTGTCACCCTAGGACAGGAAGAGTGTTAGGACTACAGAACATGCCTCCCCTGCCTCTTCTCCTCAACATAGGGAGGAACTTTTCTGTAGTCCTAATACATTTTCTGATAACATTGTTTTAGATAACAATGGACCATGTACTGAACATAGAATGGCACTAGATTTATGGCAGAATCACCAGGTATGTTTTGCACTTATCAAACAGTACATAAAAGTCAGAAGCACTTACATTTTTTTTTGTTGTTCAATATTTTTTATTGTTTTTTGAGCATAGAAATATATATTCAACAAGACACTTGTAGCACTACCCCCTCAGGAGTCACTGAAGTTTTGGGTCTCCCGATAGTACTGTTTGGGATGCCCAATGGAACTCTGAAACCGAGGACTACTGGAACTATATATACGTTTTTACAGCAAAATTTTCTTTTTGGAGAGCTATCCAGCATCTCTGGTTGTACCATCCCAGACCCTAGATTCTCCTAATCCATCCAATCTGGGTGAATCCCTGATCAGGGGATTCAGTGCCTACCACTTAAAATTATTACAGTCCCGGCTATTCACTAATCTGATTTCCCAGAGTGCTCATTCCCCAACCTTCCCAGGGGGTGCAGGTTTACTCATTTAGTCCTTCTCCTGTGTTGCTGGTGGGTTGGTGGCTGCCGCACCTTCCCTGCCACACAGGTGGTCCTCTCTCAGGGGACTGGTGAAGTCCTAAGCTTTCCTCCCTCCAAGTTTCCTGCCTGGAGTTAAGCCCCTCTCCCATCTGGGTCTCCTCCCAGGCTCCTACTCACCAGACTCACTTCCTTATCTTCTACCCACAATCTCTTCCAACTCTCCTGCTGCTGAGCAGGCTCAATTACACCTAAAGGCTGCTCTGGCCCCTTGCCAAGCCACCTGTTGGGGATTGGTTAGGATCCTCTAAGAGTACAGACCAGCCACTCCTCACCTCTGCCCACTGCTTCTAGATCTTTCTTCAAAGTTCTGGAGCAGGGGGCAATCCCAGAGAGCTGGTCTGTGGAGCCTCTCAGCTCTGACCTAAATTTGACCCATCTAGCTAATATGTCCAGGCTGCTACTCAGCCTCTATCTAACAATTGAACTAGAGCTCCCCCTAGCTGACTAGAAGGGTGCTACACACTTCAGATAAAGATTATATCTAAACAACCTGAAATTTTTCGTAGAGTAATGATGTGTACATTACCAAGTACAATAGGACAAGAAAAGAGGTTTCTCAGCCTTATAAAAATCAACACAAAAATAAAAATAATCAACGGTAACAGCTTTTTTGGCAGTACTGACATGGAAACCGGAGACCTAAACAAACATTGTTTGGGTAATATTAAATCATCAGTGTTTTTTAGTTTAACACACTGAGCACAATAAATTTAACATTCCCCAGTAAACTATTGGATAAAATCCTTACCCCAGCATTTTCAGTTTGCAACTTTCAGAAAGTTAGCAACTTTGCTGCTGGCTCCTGATTTGTCAGTGCTGCTTCCCTTAACTTCACAGAAAGGGTTAACAGTGGACAGTGCAGTCTCCATCCAGCTTGCAGGAGGGAGAGGAGCAATGAGCAGGGGAGTGTCTTGCCATCATAGGCTAGTCTGTTGATGCATAGAGAGACAACTCTAGTCCCTGCATGCAAGGGTGGACCCATAGGATGCTGCAAGAGAATGGAACCATGCTGAAACAAGAAACCTGGGGCAGCGGTCATGGCACCAGCTTAAACTGGAACATAGGCAAGGAAGCTGCTTACTTAGTAAGTGATTAAACCAGCTGCTAAAAGTGCTTAAAAAGCTGAGGATTCAATATCACTCTACATTCCTCTCTGAGCATGCTAGAGGATGTCTCTTCATTTCTTCAACAGAAGAAAGAACATGTGGGCTTATGGGTGAGCTCTCTTGAATAATAATGGCATACATAAAGGAAATGTCTGCAACCATTCTGTCTTGCTGTGAATTTCGGAGCCTTGTGTGATCTTCTGGAAGTGTTCTGTGATGGGACCTGCAACAGCTTTGTCAGCAATAGCACCTCAGATCCATAGCAAGCCGCAATGGCCCCTTTTTCTCCAACAACGCTACAGCACTTCTTAATGGCTACAATTTGTCTTCCCTAATGTGATAGACAGAGAGGGGCTTTTATCAATTCTCCAAAATGGGTGATGAATCTTCCTTTTAAGGGACCTTTCAATGCTTTGTTTAAAAGGGAAACAAATTTGTATTTTCAGTGGGTACATACAGTAAATTATTACTATTATGGTTGCTTAAAAGTCATTTTTGATGTAACCTTTCTGCATTTGTATACGCTTCTTCTACTATTTTCCCATTACTATATTACATACAGGTTATGATGAGAAGAGACTAAGAGAATCAAAAAGCCCTGCAACCAAACCAGTGTGTGTAGGCAGGTTGCATACTGTACATATTTTTAGTTTGGCCGCCCTAGCCAGGGGAAGGGGTTAATGCTTTTAATGCTTTCTCTGGGCTAAGCTCGTGGGCTTTTCTGGGTCCTCTCCCCTGTCCTGTGTGTATATAAAAGGGGCAAG